AAATTACAACTGCTTCTTTTGCAGAAATGGACAAGCAGACCCAAAAATTCATTTGCAATTGCAAAGAACCCCAAATAGCTAAAACAATCTTGAAAAAGAACAAAGTTGCAAGACTTTACTTCCTGATTTCAAAACTTACTATAAAGCTACAGTAATTAAAACAATGTGGTGTTGGCAAAAGGACAGATATATAGATCAAGGGATCAGAACTGAGAGTCCAGAAATAAACACATATATCTACGGCCAATTGATTTTTGACAAGGGTGCCAAGTCCATTCAAAAGGAAAAGGACAGTTGCTTCAACAAACGGTTCTGGGACAATTGGACATCCACAGGCAAAGGAACAAATTTGGACCCCTACCTCACACCATATACAAACATTAAATCAAAATGGACCAATGACCTAAACGTAAGAGCTTAAACTATAAAACTCATTGAAGAAAAACTAGGTGTAAAATTTGTGACCTTGGATTTGGCAATGGTGTCCTAAATATCACCCAAAAACATAAGCAACAACAGAAAAAAAATATATAATAGACTTAATCCAAAATTAAAATCTTTAGTGCCTCAAAGGACATCATCAAGGAAGTGAAAACACAATCCATGGTATGGATCTGATAAGGGTCTCATATCAAGATTCTAACCCACTCTTACGACTCAACAATAAAAAGACAAACAATCCAAATTAAAAATGGGCAAGCATAGCAGTTAAGTTCGGCACACTCTGCTTCGGTGGCCTGGGTTTGTGGGTTTGGATCCCAGGTGTGGACTGGTGTACACCTCTCATCAGCCATGCTGTGGTGGCAACCCACATATAAAGTGGAGGAAGACTAACACAGATGTTAGGTCGGGGCCAGTCTTCCTCAGCAAATAAATAAATAAATAAATAAATAAATAAATAAATAAAATGGGCAAAGAACTTAGACATTTCTCTAAAGAAGACACACAAATGGCCAACACATGCATGCTAAGATGAACCTCATTAGTCAACAGGGAAATGCAAATCAGAATTACAATGAGATACCACTTCATACCCACTAGGATGGATATAATGAAGAAAACAGAAAATAACAGGTGTTGGCGAGGATGCGGAGACACTGGAACCTGCGTGCACTGCTGCGGGAGGGAAAGACGTGCAGGAGCTGTGGAAAATAGTTCGGCAGTTCTCCAAAACATTAAACACAGAACCACCATCTGATCCAGCAACCCGCTCCTAGGCATACAGCAGGAGAGCTGCCAGCACACGTCCACAAACACACGCCCGTGCACGGGTGCTCACAGCAGCACTGCCGTAACAGGCAGGAGTGGAAACGGAACAAGTGTCCATCAACTGATGAACGTGTAAACAAAATGTGGTCCCTCCACACAGTGGAACATTCTTCAGCAATAAAAAGGAAGGAAGTCCTGACACGTTACAACACAGTGAACCTCAAAACCATGATGCCAAGTGAGAGAGCAGTGTGTGACTCCTTTATACTAAACGTGCAGAACACACAAGCCCACGGAGACAGAAAGGAGGGAGGGACAAATGGAGAGGGACTGCTAGGGGATACGGGGCTCCTTTTTGGGGTGGTAAGAATGTTCTGGAATTAGCGGTTATGACTGCACGACATTGTGAATGTACTAAAAATCATTAAATTGTACACTTTGAAATGGTTAAAATGGTGAACTTTTGGTTAAGCACATTTTATTTAAATATGCTGTTGTGTGTGGTGTGGAGTTTTCAGATACAGGCACACGTCAGGCTCATTTGCATCTGGGAAATAATGAAACTCTCAGAAATACCTACTCCTCTGTTTGTTTCCTAATGCCACGTGAAACGGCACGTGGTCTGCTCACTGTATGTTTCACCACTGCCCTCTCAGAGGTGGAGGGCTCCTGACAGGGGAGGAGGGTGCAGAGAGCAGGTGCAGGACACAAAGAACCAGGAATCTGGATGCCCTTCCAGGCTCTGGTGTGACCGCCCTTGTGACACTCCACTGTTATTCAAGTTTCCCTTTCAATCTGAGCCAGGGCCAAGTGGTTTCAGCCACTCGTAACCAGAGTCTAAACTGTCCGTGCAAACTGAGATCTGTGTACCGCTACAGCTCAGATGCCAGGCATCACAGAACAGTCTGGAGCCTTGAAAACCACACATGGGATCAAACCACTGGGGGCGGGGGGGTGCCTCGCACCCCGGCTCTCATGAGGAGTCCTCTCTAAATCCTGACTCTGCAGTCCTCACGCTGTCTTTTCCGGATGAGCCCTCAGTGGGGCCGGTCCCCTGTCACCATGCCGGCTCTGACACTCCACCTGGACAATGACACCCATGCTGTTCCACTATCCAACCAATAACAGAACCACACTGTTCTGCCCAACAGAACCGGGCTTCAGCAGGCTCTGCAGGTCCCTCTGCTACCTGATTATGGCTCAGGGTCTCTGACTACGCCCAGACTCCCGGCAGACAGGATGAAAACTGTCTCGATGCCCAACAAGATCCTTCCTTCACCTGGATCAGGCATCTACTCAGTCAACAGCTTTTGCACCTTTCAAATCAGAGGATTTACGTAATAATCACACTCGGAAACCACCTTTATATCCGTATTCTGATCTTTAATTCACCTTCATACAAATTAACAGCACCTTACACATGCCTGTTGAAAGGAAGCAACTTGTACCGAAGCTTCCGCGGAAAGACGTCACCCAAAGGGCCAGGACTAACTTTAAGGAAACCCACGTGATCTGTAAGAATTGAAATGGACTCGGCATTTAAAATTAAAAATATCCCCACGCTGACTTGAAGTAGTCATGTTGACATTCTAAGCTTTTCATTTGCCATTACTACACACGGATACAACTTGTCTTAGTAAAACATGAACCCTAATTTAAAAGACTGTCTTGCAACCACATTCAGGAAGAGAAGCAAGGTCTTCGAGTGTGTTTTTTTAAACAGTGATTTTAGAAGTGAAAAGCCAACCACTTTCAGCAAGAAAACACACATGTGACAAAGGAACTGTCTGTCATCCCGCAAAAGAACTGACAATTATTTTTTTATCTTCTGGGAGGAAACTGGCCTGGAATGTGTAGATGCTAATTTTTAATTGAGAAACAATCACCCATGCACAAAGTGTCCACTGTTCCCCCTTACTTCACCTTCCACCAGCTGTATTATTGGTGAAAAGTCACTGTTAAAACAGTCAAATTAGATGAGGGAAGAAAGTGCAAATAGACCCTAAAAACAAAAATTTCTAAAAAGATGAAGAATGTTCAGTAAAACTCAGAGAGAAACAGGAAGTTGCGGGCTGGCCTCCCTCTCGAGTGGGACAGCCTGCGTTCTCCACGGCTCCGCCAGGCTGATCAACACACACATGGCCAAGGGCGGACAGGTGCTGTCCTGGTCAGCGTGGGCAGCCATAGCAAAATACCACAGACGAGGAGCTAAAACAACACATTCATTCCGGGTGCTGGCGGCTGGACGTCCGGGATCCAGGTGCCGGCAGGGCTGGCTCTGCCGGGGCCTCTCTCCCAGGCGTGCAGACGCCGCCTGCTCCCTGTGTCCTCACTCATCGTCCCGCTTTGTGTGTCTGTGCCCTGAGCACCGCTTCTTATAAGGAACCAGTCCTATTGGATCAGGGCCTACATAGTGACCTCATTTACCCTTAATTACTTCTTAAAGGGCTCCGTCTCCAAATATGGTCCCATTCTGAGGTCCTGGGGGTTAGGACTTCAACGTCTGAATTTTAGGGGACACAACTCCGTGCATAACATGCATTTTCTTTGAAAAGTAAAAATACATGTAACAGCAGCCATTTACGCCATAGTCCATGTGATCTTAACTCTAACCCACAATCTGCATATGGTGGTCTCGGTGGGACGCGGCGCTGGGAGCTCGCACCATCCTCACCACGTGACGGCCCACGGGAAGGATGCAGGGGGGAACACAGCACACATGGTTTGCCCCAGAGGAAAGTACACAGTGTAACCTGTGTCTACGAGGTGAAGGAAACAGTTTCCTTCTTGCTTGTGTGGCATCTGCTCACCAGAGCAGTGCCCACGGGCATCCACTATGTTATGGGCACACAGGTTTTGCATGGAAATTTCCTTGCCTGAAATCCCATCATGATGTGTAACATTCCTCCTGTGGTAAAATGTGATCCAAGTCAATGGAGATGTGGCCTGCAGGCAGCGAGCAGACCTGCAGGCCTACGGGACCTGCCTGTTGAGACCAGTCAGGGGAGCGTTACAAGACAGGAGAATGCAGGGACTAAGTCGAGTCTCTTCTCTCAAGGTGATTCAGCTGGGCCAGAGGAGAGAACCAGCGCTCAGGAGCAGAATCACATCGGACAAAAGCCCAGCGAGAGATGACTGCCAGAGAGAAATGGAAAGGGCCCCAAGAAAGGATGCACAGAACCCTGTGCATTTCTGTGTCCACCTGCAACCAAGAGGCTCCCCTCCAATGCCCCAACCTTGCTGGCCCTCCCGTGGCCCTGTCTGTGTCTGCCACACAGCGGCCCCCGCCAGGCTGACACCGCTGTGCTGCCGGGACCCAGAGTCCACGAAGCTGCCACTGCAGACCTCCCACCACTCGAGGATCCTGGATAGACGCCTGCCAAAGACAAGGGACAAGGGAGACCAACACAGAGGAGGAACCAGGAGCCCGGCTGCCAAAGACAAGGGACAAGGGAGACCAACACAGAGGAGGAACCAGGAGCCCGGCTGGGTGGATGCACGAACTGGGTCAGTGATGGGACGGAGCAACAGCGGCAGAGGGAGAGGCGTGTCCTGTCCAAGGAAAGACGGAGCTGGCTGACGGTCTCCCGTCTCTATGCCCAGAACACCACGTGCAAACGGCCCAGACAAACAGCAGAACTGTACCCACTGTACACTCCAGAGCGTGTGCAGACGACCCTGGCCCACCCCCAGAAGGCCCTGAACAACTCGACCACCTGCGCATGCTGCAGGGCAACAGAGGTGGCCGTGACCACATGTCCATGGCCCATCGTCACCTGCAGACACCTCACCTGTCAAAGGAGGGGCGCTCCAGCCTGTCACCGTCTCAGGCGCCACTTTCTCAGGGGGTATTTCCGAGGCCAGAGTCATTGGTGCCCCCTTTTCTTGGCCATGCGGAACTTTAGGAAAAAGTCTCCTCAGCACTTTTTCAACAAACACTGCAAAGGCAACCAATTGACAAGAGAAAGGAAGGAATTACTGAAGGCAGTGTTATTAAAACTGCACATGAGTTCACATAAGGCAAACACACGTCCTGACATTTTGACCTGAGAGCAAAGTAACTGTCCCCAGAGGACCCCCCAGCACTGTCCATCAGAGGACCCCCCCCAGCACTGTCCTCAGAGGACCCCCCAGCACTGTCCCCAGAGGACCCCCCAGCACTGTCCATCAGAGGACCCCCCCCAGCACTGTCCTCAGAGGACCCCCCAGCACTGTCCATCAGAAGACCCCCACAGCACTGTCCTCAGAGGACCCCCCCAGCACTGTCACCAGAGGACCCCCCCAGCACTGTCCATCAGAGGACCCCCCCCCAGCACTGTCCTCAGAGGACCCCCCCAGCACTGTCCCCAGAGGACCCCCCCCAGCACTGTCCATCAGAGGACCCCCCCCAGCACTGTCCTCAGAGGACCCCCCAGCACTGTCCTCAGAGGACCCCCCCAGCACTGTCACCAGAGGACCCCCCAGTACTCTCCATCAGAGGACCCCCCCAGCACTGTCCTCAGAGGACCCCCCCAGCACTGTCACCAGAGGACCCCCCAGTACTCTCCATCAGAGGACCCCCCCGGCACTGTCCTCAGAGGACGCCCCCCGCCGCCAAGCACCCTCATTGGGAGGCCCACAGGTGCTCAGGGGAGGAGAGCCGCAGGAAGAGGGCAGGCTGCCATGGTGAACACGGACTTGGGGTTGGTGCTGGGTGGGCTGGCCTCCCGTCCTCCCTCAACGTTCTCATCTCTGGTTGAATTTCCATGTGAAGAGCAGACTGTGAGCCCATTTCAGAATTCGGGGCTTCAGGTCCTGGGTACCCAGTGCGCCCCTAGACAGGCTCGGTCCCCCGGCAGGTCACACGGAGAGCCTTGAGGCTGGGCTCACCTTGAGGCAGGCAGACCGAGCAGGGTTCCGGCACACCTAACCACCATGGCCGGGAGGCAGCTTGGGCATTCTAGGACGTCCTAACAAGCACACAGAGACTTCACTCTGCTCATTTCAGTTTACATCCTGCTCCAAGTGGAGGAAAACAGCTGCCATAACGGACAAATATTTCCATGCTGATTTAATGGGAACCATGAACAGCTACGAGTCTCAAGACGCGCCCGGAAGAGGTGAGGGAGATGTTAGTAACACGCATTTGTCTGAACCTCGTCAAACTCAGAGACGAGTCGACAAAGCGTGGAGAGCTGCTGTGCAGCAGGCAGAGGTCCTGCGCGGCCACCAGAACGCTGCGGAGGGCCCGGGCTTCTTGGTCACGCGGTGGAGAGGTGAGCGCGTCCCTGAAGACTCGTGTCCTCGGTCACATAATATGAGAACAATTTTCTATTTTAAATTTAAAATTGAGCGCAGTAGTCCAAAAAACTAAACAGAGAGGAAACCTTCGATATCCTAAGTTGGACTGGGGTAAGCACTTCGTAAACCCAGGTGGCGGCAAGACTCCCACCTCACACTCGCATGTCAAAGCCTCCTGAGGAAGCATGCCTCTCCCAGCGGGACCACATGCCCCTCCAGGAACCGCTGGTGCCCGCCGCACCCCGCAGCACACTCCCACAGGCTGGCTGGGTCCAAGGAGCTCCTTCCTATCCAAGGACCTGTCACAAACGCTACTCTGGGCACACGGCCTGGACACTCCGGCCCTCCTTGAGGGGCTCAGGACAACCTGGAGATCGTGTCCTGGAGAACGCTGGTTTACGTCGCCATACCCACGATCCAGGAGTTACTCACAACGTGTGGAGTCAAGAGCGCAAGAAGAGACGGCCTCAAAGAGACGTTGTAATGGGATCTCAATGTCAACTGGGAGCTTTGTCTTCAATTAGAATTTCAACTAATAAACCTTAACACAAGCCGAGTATCCAGCAACTTCAGAATAAAATGATCTGGTAAATATACATCTAATAGTTTCAGCTGCCAACGTTTAAAGCATAGTCTTTCTAAAAGTACTATGATTTTAATCTTTTTAAATCAGTTTTAAAAGAGCAATGTGTAACAAGCAAAATTAAAATATCAATAACTACTTTCTACCAACTAATATTTCTAGCAGACTCACTGGCGAATGTCACTTGATCCCAACGACACAGGGAGTAAGAACGCAGCACGGAGCCACCTGCACGCAGCGTACTCTGCGACTGTGACCAAGCCCTTGGAGCGCCCTCAAGAACCGCCCCCCAGCGGTCCCCACACCTCTGGACTCCTAAGGACAAAGTGGCCGCCAAGCACTGGTGCAGTCACACGAAGTCTCCCCTCCCTGAAGGAGCTCACAGTTTATTTGAACAGAAACAACCAGCTATTTTATTTTTTTTTTTTTTTTTTTTTTTTTTTTAAAGATTTTTTATTTTTTCCTTTTTCTCCCCAAAGCCCCCCGGTACATAGTTGTGTATTCTTCATTGTGGGTTCCTCTAGTTGTGGCATGTGGGACGCTGCCTCAGCGTGGTCTGACGAGCAGTGCCATGTCCGCGCCCAGGATTCGAACCGACGAAACACTGGGCCGCCTGCAGCGGAGCGCGCAAACTTAACCACTCGGCCACGGGGCCAGCCCCAACAACCAGCTATTTTAGACCAAAAAAAAAAGTTGTACAGCCACTTAAACTCTCGCTGCCATGTCGAGCCTGCAGAGTTATGAATGAGATGAGCACCCTCGGACTGCTGGCTGGTTTCCTACACGGTGGACTCAATTCTGTAAACAGAGTGGGTCTTCTAACCGGCCACGTCTACTTAGTGACTCATGCTGAAAGCAGAATGCAAAGCAGTTATTTTTCAGGGTACTGAAAAACAGCGAAGCATCGTTTTTAAAAAGCACTCGTCATTTTTGGTTTGCTGAAATGCTCCTCTCAACCTACTGTGCATGTGTGTGTGTGTGAATGTGTACCTACTACAAATGTAGGCCTATAAATCAATTTGGATGTTAAAAGTCTCTTTTCTGCTTATTTTCCAATGGCTCAAAAACAAAACAAAACAAATGGAGGGCACTCTGCCCTGGAAGGCAGCTCGGTGTCACACCCAGCTCTCAGAAGCCCCCCAAACCACGTGAGCCAGGGAGAGTGCTCTGCTGCACCACAGCTGCCGAGGCGTGGCATCTTCACACCTCGTCCACCGGCTGCTCCTCCAGCAGCAGGAGCAAGTTTTGACCTGAAACTCTGCTGTCCGTCAAAAAGCAATCACAAGAAAGCGAAGAAGCAGGAAATGGATGTTTTACACCAATCGGAAAAACCACCGTGCAGGAAAACAGTACAACCACCACGTGGACAGGCATCAGGATCGACAGGAGAGGCGCCAAGGAGGAAACAGTGTCTGAAATTGATCTGTGAAACACCAGACAGGGAGGGTAAGCCTCCTTATCACAGAGGACCCAGGGATGTTGACGTAATTTTCAGAGAGGACTGCCTGAACTTGACATTTCAATTTAAAGACACAAGCCAAATAAACATAAAATCTTTCAAGAAGGTGTTCTTTGGAAATTAGAAACCTAGGAAAAACTGTAAATATATATACCTCCAAAGGAAACAGTTTGATTGCTGGCAGTAAACCTATTCAATTCTAAACTCTTCAATGCTGTTACTTGATTTAAAATCTAACAGTTGGGTATAAAAAAGGAAGAGCTTCTTCCATTTTTAACAAAGGTGTTAATGGCAGCATTTCAAGGAATTGTTTCTCTGTTTGCTATGGTGTCAGGGCAGAAGCCCAAGAACTGTGAAGCGTTTGACAAGCTCCTGCAGGGAAGAGGGTAAACCAACAGACAAGAAAGAGCGGCCCCTTTTAGGTCGCTTTCCAGCCGGAAAGTCTCCCGACTCGGGACGAGGGCTGCATTCCATTTGAAAAGGTACTTATGGGAAAAAGCATGGAAATAGCAACTTTTTCTTCTATAATATTCCAATCTGAAAAAAGCAAAGGAAAATGAAAAATACGTGGTAGAAAAAAAAAGCAACCCATGACCTTTGAGACCATGCAATGAGTTACCCCATTGACACCAGGAATACTTTTCTTTTCCTTACAAAAGTTCACTTTGATTGCAAAGTGGCATGTGCCCCCCACAGTGTCTGTGTACACAGTGTACTCAATGTAAAATCGGGGTGAAACCATGCCTGTCCTTTTCCTATGTGGATACATACTGTGCATCTGGAGAGCCTTCCCATAACGGAGGAGGTCAGAAATGATGTTCATTCTGCGTGATTCTCCAGCCAAATATTTCATGACTTGTGTCATCACGCCTACACACCTGCATCTCTTGGAAAAGCACGACTGTCTGGGGACAAAAGACATGTAGACACAATTTGGGGACATGAGGGATGAAATTAGTTCAAAAACTGCTTCAAAGGCAGATGTTAACGGGAAGCAGTAAGTGAGGGGACCACAGCCTCATTGGAATTACATGAAAATTATGGAGACCACAAATACTACAGATAACTTGAAAATGTGGCTTCTTGATATTTCACTTGGAAAGACACACAGACAGTGGAACAAAGAGGTTTCTGACGTCCCTTTTCTGAGTTTCCAATTAGCAGACTTATGAATGGAAAAGTGCTATCATCCAGAATTTGACACAGGAGTTAGCAGGCTTTTTGAAATTACACTTAAACAAAAAACTGCTACTGAAAATAAGACCAGAAATGGACATTCACAGAAACTTTCTCCATGGCCGACTTGGTGGCGTCCCTCCTCACCTCAGCCGTAGAGAAAATCTTCCACAAGCTCCCACTAAACACACACACACGCCGCCAACTCACAGTCTTAAAGAAAACTGAGAATCCCCCTATCTCAGTAAAACCGGCTCAGGTGATTCCCTTTTCCACCCTGACATCTGTGCATCTTGTGTCAACAGAATCTAAATTTAAATTTTCTTAGGGTTTTTGTATTTCTTGGAATTTGAAATTTTCAATTTTCTCTTCTCATGTTTAAATACCTGCTGAGTATCTGCTAGCCTATCCATAACTTTCTCAGAAACCATATTCAATTTTTTTTCATTTTACTCTTATAATGAGTTATTTACCCTTTGCCTATAATCTAGGAAGAAAGGAATAAATTGGTAATAGTGCCTCGTCACTTCATAAGAAAGAAAAGTGCAGTACAGTATGCTAATCCAGTGAGTGATAGTTTCTTAATGAGTTTCATAATGGAACTAGAAATGGAAAATAATTAGCTAAGATTTAAGCAAGAGTTGGCAAGCTTTCTGAAATATTAATTAAAAGGAAAACAGTACTCAAAATAAGACCAGAAATAGTACTCAAATGGGACATAATTAGAATCTTACACCACGACCACTCTGATGTGGTATCCCCAAGTAGTTGGTACACACTAAATATTCATTTTCTCCCCAAATTTTAACACTAAAAACACCCCTGTAATATTCTAAACTTTGTCCAAAATGTTTCCTTGTAGAGACGTTTGCAGCACTTCTGTACCCTAACCATTCAGAGCTGTTATCGTTTTCATCAGGGGCTGGTGAGCACACCTGAACCCAGGGGACAGAAGGACAGCAGGGACGCTGCTCCGGGCCCCCAGGACGGGGCCCCAGCAACCGCTGTGCTCTCCAAGGTGTTTTCTCACCCAAATATGCTGAGGACGGACGGGACAGGGCCACACAGGTGAGGGCCCACCCAGACGGCCATTCAGAGGCGTGCTTCGTCATAACTGGGAGGGAGAGGGTAAATTATCATTTCTACTCCAATATTTTAATTCTTTCCGGTTTCCTTAACACTGGCTTCTTCATCAGCCGGATCTTGAACTCAACCACAGTACACAGACACGGGTCCTTGCACAAGTAGGGAGCCAGTCACTTGGGAGGATGTCAGGAGCAGATGCTCTGGAATGCCGGTACTTCCACTTCTGCACCACACCGCCAGGCCACCCACCCAGAGCCAGAGGAGGCCACAGCACACCCACCACCACCCCGCGGGCATCCCTAGGCCACCTCGCTTGAGGAACCAGCTCCTTCCATTGCGTCTTCAAGGCAGGGTCCTGTCTCGCCCAGGCGCCGGCTATTTCTCTAGTCTCTAGGCCATGGGTGTCTGCCTCCCCTTGAACAAGGTACACCCCTGCCCCCTCAACCCCCTACCGCCCGAGTCATCTGTGCTGCTGTTCTCAGGGCCAGGCGAGTGCCCCGGCCTCCTTCACACCCACGCTGGGCAGTCGGCTGACAGTGGGACCACACACTTCACACACATTACCTGATTTAATCCTCACAACAACCCTACTGTCTCCCCATTGCTGTATATATTTTTAATTTTCTGTATATCATGATGCTCTGACATCTTAAAACCCTCTGGCTGGGAGAGACCACCCCTCGCAGCTGGCCGATCCTCAGAGAGCGCAGAGCAGGAGCAAGCCTCTAACATGCCCACCAGCCACCAGAGCTGGCCCCTCCACCTGCCCTGTGCCCAGCAGCGAGAGTCCTCTGCCTAAAGCCCAAACCCAAGGAAACGATTCCATCCAGCCAGTCTGAGTGCTCCCCTGCCCTGCCTGCCTTCCTGTGGGAACCCCGGGAAAGGCCATGGCCCAGTTCTTCCCCTTGCTCCTGTCTGCTGCCTCGTGTGGTTTAGTGTGCCGCCTGGCTCTGGGACCCACAAGCACAATAAACTTCGATTCCCAAGGCGCTCCTCTCTCCTCTTGTGGCTAAGCTGACTGACTGTCTCATAAAACACAAAGAACAGCCCGCATCTTGTAGCCAAGGCACCTGAGGGTCCCAGGGAACTCGTGTGAGGGCACAGGCCCACCTCCCACTGTGAGTGCAGCCTCCCGCTGCTGGGCACCTGAGGGTCCCAGGGAACTCGTGTGAGGGCACAGGCCCACCTGCTGCTGTGAGTGCAGCCTCCCGCTGCTGGGCACCTGAGGGTCCCTGGGAACTCGTGTGAGGGCACAGGCCCACCTCCCGCTGTGAGTGCAGCCTCCCACCGCTGGGCACCTGGGGGTCCCAGGGAACTCGTGTGAGGGCACAGGCCCACCTCCCGCTGTGAGTGCAGCCTCCCGCTGCTGGGCACCTGAGGGTCCCAGGGAACTCGTGTGAGGGCACAGGCCCACCTCCCGCTGTGAGTGCAGCCTCCTGCTGCTGGGCACCTGAGGGTCCCAGGGAACTCGTGTGAGGGCACAGGCCCACCTCCCGCTGTGAGTGCAGCCTCCTGCTGCTGGGCACCTGAGGGTCCCAGGGAACTCGTGTGAGGGCACAGGCCCACCTCCCACTGTGAGTGCAGCCTCCCGCTGCTGGGCACCTGAGGGTCCCAGGGAACTCGTGTGAGGGCACAGGCTCACCTCCCGCTGTGAGTGCAGCCTCCCGCTGCTGGGCACCTGAGGGTCCCAGGGAACTCGTGTGAGGGCACAGGCCCACCTCCCACTGTGAGTGCAGCCTCCCGCTGCTGGGCACCTGAGGGTCCCAGGGAACTCGTGTGAGGGCACAGGCCCACCTGCTGCTGTGAGTGCAGCCTCCCACCGCTGGGCACCTCAGGGTCCCAGGGAACTCGTGTGAGGGCACAGGCCCACCTCCCACTGTAAACCCATCTCCCACAGCTGGGCACCTGGTATCCAGATGATGAAGCCCCTCCCTCCGCACCCCAGCCCGACTCTCATCCAATCCAGAAGCACACTGCACCTGCCCACAGAGCACACCTCCTGCCTCGCACAGCCCGGCAGGCACCACGCCAGCTTCTGGGGAATCTCTCTCCCTATGCCTACCACCCATGCCTCCGGCTGCTGCCTTATTCCACATCGTCTCATGCCCCCAAAGACATGCCAACAACATGCTGGCCGGCCAGCCTGCCGCTGGGCCTGCCCCGTGCCACACCTCCCCTGTCCACTTTCAGATCTGTCTTCTATAGAAGCAAACACCTACCCTCCACTTGAAACCTGTACCAGCTGCCCAGCTCCTACCTAGAACAGAAGCTTCCCTGGCCTGGGGGCCAGCACAGCGACCTTCTCCACCATGCACACACCCCCTCTGTTCACAGAAACCCAGGCCCTTCATTCACTCCTTCACTCAGCAACGCTTGCTGAACCTGCTGTGTGCCAGGCACCGGGAGCATGGGACGCCTCCTCACAGGAAGAAGCAGACAGGGATCGGGCAGTGATGATCCAGAGGGCACGTGAGCCCATGGAGGAAACAGTGCGTGCAGGACCTGGAACAGCAGGGAGCCGGTCCTGCTGCCAGCTCTGCCCTAGGCAGCACTGACCACAGAGAGGTTCCTTCTATTCCAGAATAAAGGATCTGTTGTATCTCACAGAACACAGAGACAACACCCAAGTGAGACTCGTGTGGACAAACAGAGCGGGGGCTCTCCCGCAGGTCAGCAAGCCCTGCTTGCCTGTCTGCACGGGGCCCCGCAGGCACTGCCAGGACAAAGCTCTGCCAGACCGTCGCCTCCACCCCGCCACACCTGCAGGCAGCTCAGCACAGAGAACGGGTCTCCTCCCAGCCAAGCCGCACCCCCAGCACCTGCGGCTCTGGGACTCAGGGGGCTGCCGCCAGTGTGCCTAGGTCCGGGCGTGTAACTGGGAAGACACATACACATGTGCACAAACACACAGAGACACACATATACACACATGCACACACAGATACATACACACACACATACACACATGCAGGCACACACTAAGACACATACATATATACACACACACAGAGACACATATACATGCATGCAGGCACACACATGACACATGCACAGACATATATACACAGACACATACAAACACACAGGGACACATAGGCACATACACGGACAGACACACACATATATACAGACACACACATATATACAGGCAGACACACACAAACACAGAGAGACACGTACACACATACAGACATGCATATACACACATGCAGGCACAGACATACATGCACATACACACAGACACACATGCACACACACAAACACAGATGCACAGACACACACAGACTCACAAGCCCCACTCCCGCTGCTTCAAGAACACTCGCATCAGGGCCTGGACCACAGGGAATGCCCCAATAAGGGGGTATGTCATGCTGACCACAAAGCCCTCCTCAGGACGTGGGGATATCAGAGGTTTGGCCAGTGAGTGAGGCCCGCTGACAGCTGCCAGCTCATCTGAGGAGGGTCCCTGGAGGACAAAGACTTGGTGATGCCGATGGCCTGGGGGCCTCATCCACCAGGCTGCTGCACACTCCTGACTCCCGGGAGCGGCCCACTGGGAAGACCCAGCCTGGCCCTCTGGCAGGAAGTCCTCAGCAGGAACAAATTCCTACAAAAGCCGTGGACCGCCTGCGTTAGAGCACGC